TTGCCCTTTTCTTGCAGGCTATTTATAGAGACCGTCTGGCTTGTATATGAAGTCACAGAGACCTGAACAGGAGCTTCCTAATAATAAACAATTCTCTTCCAAACTTAGGTGCCTCTCGCCGTCTGTGCTGGTGGAGGAGTTCAGGGACGGGGGTCTGTGCCGGTGGAGGAGTTCGGGGACTCCATAATCTATCGGCTTTCTCTCTTTGTCTAGTTCTTCTCGTAGCCTTTGATTACCCAGAAGAAAGGCTGTTTGTAGTCAGTCACTGTTTATTTTTTGGGCTGAATTACTTCTTTTATCTTTGGCTACAATGTGGCCGTGTGTGCGTTCTGTGTACATTTATATGTCTCAGATACAACACCAAACAGATTCAGCAAACACGAAAAATAAAAAGCAAATACTTGAATCTATTATTTTTTTCTTGGGAGGTGCGGGCTGAATGATGCCGGGGCGGGCTGAATGATGCCGGGGCGGGTTGAATGACCCTGAGGTGGGCTGTCATGTAAAACCTGTTAGAAGCCCGGTACTGCCTTTTTACTTTTTCACATGCTGAGCAATTTATTTTTGCAGTAATAAGAAAGGTTCGGGTTCCAACTCCATCATTTAACGTTTTGGATAGATTTGGAGATCCCATTACTCTGGGTTTCTTTGTTCTGGTGACCATTGTCATCAGATCAGAAAGTTTTGGGAGATCGAAGGCCCGGCTCCAGGCAAAAATCGCATTTTAATTGTGCACAAATTATCTTTCTGATTAGCGTTGTTCATAACCCTTCCCGCAGTGTAATCTCTCATACTCACACTTTGCTCTCTGCACAATGCCTTTTCCTGCCTTTGGGGACCTAGCACTTTTTCCCCACTCATCTCTTTGGGTTTGGTCCCCTCACCATCCTCGTGTATGTAGGTACCATGCGTCTGAAACTGATGTGGGAGGACCCCATCACTGCAAGAGTCACCACCACTACCAATGGGAAGAGTTACACAACCAGTGATATGGACACCTGAAGAAGGACCCCGCCGGATGTAAACAGAAGACGCAGCTTTACCAATTATCATTGGAACAGGGGGTGAGGGGAAAGTTTCCTATGTGGGCATCTGTTCCAGTGAGGACAAAGAGGGGATTTGCACTCCGTTTAGAGAGATTTACTCTCTCGTGCTTTTGTTTTGGTTTTTTTAAGACCGGAAATGAGGAAAAATCTGTCCAATGGAACCCTCTGCCCCCTATTTTGGCCAGACCGATTTATTATTCAGGCCTGTCTGCTAGCTCAGCGTTTCACTTTCCACACTCAGTGTTGGAGATAATATAAATACAGATACCAGGACCTATATTAGGAGTATTTGAAGGTACATATGGTGATATTTCATAAATATCTGTCTTGAGTTTCCAATCACGCAATGAAGTTGTTAACGGTCATCACAGGGATAAAACTAACCCCCACCCCACTCTGATTTCTGGCCCCAAAAACTTACCTAGATGCCAATTGTTTTTGTTGAAAGCCAGAATCACATGATCCCCTGTGCCAATTCTACTCTCCGCCCTTCATTTACATCGGGCAAGGTCCTTCTTGTGGTGTCCACATCACTGTGTGACGAAGACACTGCCCATTGATTGTCCCATGGCAAGCTCCGGGTAAGGAGTGACATCATTACAAGGGGACCGGCCGGCGAGGAAACCATTTGCAGTGCTTGATTAGCATTAGCATAAGTTGCTTCACAGGGTATGAAAAAATAAAAAACCTGCAAGTTGTGTTCAGGGGGAGGTGGCAGGAAGGGGTGGGGGAGGGTCATATTATGTCTGGAGAAGGGGGCTTTAATTATATTAGAATTCATTTTGGAACAAAGGAAAAACAAAGCTCTGTCTTCTGCGACTGTTAGTGGCTTGATTTATGACGCACAGCCTGTGGCATGCAGAATCTGTTCCTTCTGCCCGGGCGCATGCTCCAAATATTTATATGAAAGCTTTTGTTTATTGCAGTTTGGTGCCAAGATTGGAACGCCAACATAAAGAGACCATTTGGCCCAGCATGAAGCTTGTTCTTTCTCCGATCTGACAAATACGATTGTGTTTTGCTTTACAGTTTGTTTAAAGGGCTGTTATTAGACCGTGTTGCAATGGCTGTGCGGTGCGTCAGCCACTTGTGTGATAAGCGTAAGTTGTTCTCGAACGACGTAGAGTGCAAGCTGATCTCCTACTAACGATCTCTTCGCGACAGATCCCCGGCGCCTGGAATGTTTGGGAGCGGGAGGGAGGCTTGTTTAACATGATAGTTTTCATGTCGTTTTTTTACCTTAATTTTAGGTTTGCGCGAAACTGGAAATAAATGTTTCAAGTCAACTGATTACTTATGTAATATAAGATACACTGCCTGGCCAAAAAAAAGTCACACACTCTAATATTTAATTGGACTGCCTTTAGCTTTTGATTACGGCACACATTCGCCGTGGGTTCGTTTCCATAAGCTTATTCAATGTCACAACATTTATTTCCCATCCAGAGTTGTATTAATTTGTAAAGTCTTCTCCAGCACATCCCAAAGATTCTCAATGGGGTTAAGGTCTGGACTCTGTGGTGGCCAATCCATGTGTGACAATGATGTCTCATGCTCCCTGAACCACTCTTTCACAATCTGAGCCCGATGAATCCTGGCATTGCCATCTTGGAATATGCCCAATGTGCCATCAGGGAAGAGAAAATCCATTGATGGAGAAACCTGGTCATTCAGTTTATTCAGGGAGGCAGCTGACCTCATTTTTTGGAGACATAACGTTGCTGAACCTATACTTGACCAACTGAAGCAACCCCAGATCATGGCACTTCTTGAAATCCAGGTGGTGACTTTTTTTTTTTTTGGCCAGGCAGTGTATATCTTTAAAGGGACCCTATAGCTAAACCAGCCGTTCAAGAAATAGCTGATGTAAAAGCATCGGTAAAGTCAAGGAAATCGAAAGAAAGGAATTATATCTTTTGGGTAATATAAGCCTATAAAAGCCACCGTTATACAAATTAAGGTTTGGTAAATAGGTTTAAAGCCACACTCCGGGCAAAATGATCATTTACACACCACACTGGGTGCATAGATTATAATGAAAAAGCTGGATGTTATGAGCAGAGAGTGTCTGCAAAGTGTACAAATCTTACCTTGCAGCACGCCGTCTCCGGCATACAATGCTGAACTTTCACATCCCCGCCCCTTCCTCTCCTCCAATCACAGATAGTCTTGCATTCTTTGAAAAAATACAAGACATTTGTGAATGGACGATATTGAGAATGGGGGCTGGTGATATACTGTTGTTTATTTACTGCTCCAGTTGCATCTCTACTACTCTCCAGTGCCCGCAGGTCCATCGTTGTGTGCAAGGGGGGTGTGTTAGTAACCTTCTAAACACGGCTGTACAGACACAGCGTCCTGTAGCACCAGGGCTGGCTGGGGTGCGTGGCGATTCAGCCGCCTTCTGACCACGGGAATACGGGCACAGTTACAAACTGACCACATTAAAGGGGAACTTTACCCATATCTTTGAAATGACGTCAAACACACCTTTAGAAATGTTTAGTGATGACAATCTACAAACACTTCTAGATAATTGCCGGCTTTGTATTCTCTGCATACCTTATTTTCCTTTTCCTCCCCATTCTTCTCACAGCAGCCATTTTTACTAAGGGCAGGTTACTATATCTCCCTTTACACTGGCACATGCGACTAGGACATGTGACCATGCACATCATCTCAAAGGAGGAAAATGCCTTTCCCTGAGATCTGAGATAACAGATGAGATTTCTAGCAATGCTCTGCTGATGTAACTTTCCCAGGATGCAACGCTCGGGCACAGATTACATCACTAATGCCCAAGAGGACCAGGAAGCAAAAGAAAAATATGTTTAATGAATGTAAGATGTTTTTATATCAGCATGCAGAGCTGCATGCGGAGGTGATTTTTAGTGAAAGGGGCTAAAGGTCTGCTTTAAGATGTATCTGTGTCTAGCGTGGTCAGAAGCCGGACGATGGCAATGGGCAGAATCACCAGATTTTTTTTGCCTTTTAGGAAATAAAAAGAACTCACTAAATACATTTGGGGACAAAGGAATATAATCCCCAACTATGTACATTTTAAGGTTTACATACACTTTAAGGATGACACCCATTCTTACCGATAGACAGTTTTTGACTAATGTGCTAAGATAGAGGAGCTTTTTTGCCAGCATTGCCTGTGGTCTCCCGGCAGTTGATCTTTTCCCCATTACATACTTATCATGCCGCCTTCTGCACTGTGAAGGCCATTTTGCTATAATCAGCGTTCCCCCCCTGATGTCTGGTGATCTGATGACTCTGGTGGGGTAATGATGAAGCCGCAGAAGAGGTGGAAGAAGCACAGATCCTTAAAATGATTGCAGCAGAAGCAGGGAGATCCTTGCTTTGCAGGTCCTCGGGTACGGCTTCCTCTCCAGCAAGGAGAACATTGAACAGCACAGTAGTGACATCACCAAATCGGGCAAGACTGTCGGAGACAGCAGTGCCTGAGATGTCACACTGCAGATATACGGTTATAAGTCTATATAACAGGAGCATCCAAGTGCTGGCAGTGCACTGCTGTTTTTTTAGAATTCATTTTTCAGATACTGCTTAGGCATAATTAACGTTTCAGAAGCTCTCTATAAGATGAGTGTTTACATTTTCAGCTTCGGTCCACTTTAATACAACCTGACCTTAAAGAAGAACTCTAGGCAGAAAATCGTAACCCTTGCAAGGGCGGTGGCACCACTGCAAGGGTTAGGATTATTTCTGCCCGGAGTTCTTCTTTAAGCACCCACATCCTTCCTCATCTTTAAAGGCTCCCTATCGCCACAAAAATAGTATTCTGGTAACTTTATGTGCAGCATACCTCCAATGATTGTATTCTGTATATGCATTTGTGTTTTTGTTTTTATTTTACAAACCTTTATTTATATTTCTATAAACATTTTACAGCCAATGTGACTCATTGTTGTTGCTCTTCTCTCTCAGGTCCAGTAAGACGATGAATCTCTGTTCTAAGTGTTTTGCGGGTAAGTACCTTTCTATAGTTCCCTATCTACTCTTATCTGTTCTTTCTCTACATCCCCGGTACATTCTGTGACATTTACTGGCTCACTTGTAATAATTCAAGAAGACTGAGCCGATCGCATCAGTTTCTGTACCAAAGGAGCTTACATTGTAATGCCCCCATCATATGTACACTTGTATAAACACTCAGTCTGCCCAAACTAGTTGTACTATGGGAATATTTTTTGGGGTTAGGGGAGGAAATTAGAGTATTTGGAGGAATCCGGCATAAACCCAGAAATATGTGCCAATCCTATGCACTGTCCTTGCTAAGAATTATACCAGGTCCACAGTCCTGAAAGCTTCAGTAGTAAGCTACCACACTGGCCACGATGACTTCCAGGTCCAGGTTGGTTGTTTAATAACAGGGGTTTAGAACAAATTCCAGTGAAGGGTTCTGTTAATACTACTGCATACAAATACATTTTAGACAGTTATGCTCTTCCAACCTTGTGATAACAGTTTGGTGAAGACACTTTTCAGTTCTAGAATGACTGTGCCCCGTGTACAAAGCCAGATCCATAAAGACATACTGTAGTTGACGAGTTTGGTGTGGAGGAACTTGAGTGTGCTGGACAGGCTGTGGGCCCTATCAAACATCTTTGGGATAAATTGGAAAGCTGATGGCGAGCTAGGTCTTATCCAACACCAGTTTCCTGGACAGAGTCCTGACCTCAACCCTATGGAACACCTTTTGGGGTGATTTGGAATGCCAATTGTGAGCCAGGTCTTCTCATCCAGCATCAGTACCTGACTTCACAAGCAGAGTGGAGGCTGTTATGAAGTCAAGAAGAGGGGCAACCCCATATTAATGATCATTGTTTTGGAAAGGGATGTCCAATCCAGCTCCATAAGGACATAGTTGGAACAGTTTGGTGTGGAGGAACTCCAGTATCCTGGACAGTGTCCTGACCTCAACCCTACTGGACACCTTTGGGGTGATTTGGAATGCCGATTGTGAGCCCGGTCTTCTCATACAACATCAGTCCCTGACCTCACAAATGGCCACAAATTCCTACAGACACGCTCCAAAATCTTGTGGTGACCCTTCCCAGAATAGTGGAGGCTGTTTTAGCTGCAAAGGAGGGCCAGCTTCATATTTATTGCCATGGGTTTGGACAATCATGTCCAATAAGATCATATAGATGTGATGACAAACGTTTGGATATGTAATGTATAAAGATGCCATAGACCACCTCATCTTATTCTAGTATCTGGCCAGGACATTTAATGACAAAACAATTCTTCTCCCTTCTTAACTCCGTATTTATGGCCATGGGTTTGGAATATTATGTCCAACAAGATCATATAGATGTGATGACAACGTTTGGATATGTAATGTATAAAGATGCCATAGACCACTGTATTTTAGTATCTGGCCGGGATTTTTAATGACAAAACAGTTCTGCTCCATTCCTGTGCTAGTAAATGGCCACTCGCATAGTTTCCTGTGCACTCATATACTATAGCGCAGTGTAGACAATGTCCCAGAACTTTCCCTGCCACGTCACGCTCCTGCCACTGCCTATCTTTCTCATTGTCCAGCTCGAGCTCGTTAGCGTTTTCACAAATGGCCTGCTGGTTATGAAGAAGTTTCTAGTTAATTGGTGTGCGTTTATCTTCTCATTATCTGTTATTGATGTGTCCACGGACGTCTTCTCCAGTCTGTTGTTATCATAGACAATCCACTGACACGTCTTCCTGTATTAATTAGTGGAGCGCACAGACATTCAGCAGATAATGGCCAGGCATGACCCAAGCAACGCGCATATGGCAGACAATTATCATTCAAGCTTAGGGGTCATCTGAGTTTTACCTGTGTTATTAAATTTATACATGGCTTGTGTGCACCCCACTGTCAACTGTTACTCTGCAACAATTGGATTATAGAGATCTGGAATGGCCCATATGTATTTGTATTAAACCAAACTGGCTAAGTATTTTGAAAGAGAGCCATGTGCATGTAATTCAGAACCTGAGATTTTTGCTTTAGTTGGTAATGCATAGACATGTCATGATTTAAAAAAAAAAAAAAAAACTGAGCCCAGTGCACCTCCCCCAACTCCCGTGCATCTTCCCCCAACTTTTCGCTTGGGATTGATAACACAACCATCCAACCCTCCTCCATGCCAAGGTGCTAGGTGTCATCCTTGACTCGGACCTCAACTTTCTTCCCCACATCCAATCACTATCCAAACCCTGCCGTCTTCACCTTCGTAACATCTCCATAATACCCCCCTTCCTCACCAATGAAACCGCAAAATTACTCATACACTCACTTGTTAGCTCTCGTCTTGACTATCGCAACTCCCTCCTCATTGGCCGACCTACACAGACTCCCCTCCCCTTCACTCTATCATGAATGCACCTGCTAGACTCATCCACCTAACCAACCGCTCAGTTTCTGCAACACCCCTCTGCCAATCCCTCCACTGGCTTCCACCCCACCCCCCCTGCCAATCCCTGCACTGGCTTCCAATAGCCCAAAGGCTCCAATTCAATGGGAAGCGGCTATCTTGCTCTGCAAAATGTCAACTGGATGTAATCAGTTATGCAAAAGAGCATGGAAAATATTGATTTCTGAATTTTGGGTAAGAAAAGTCAGGGGCGGTCCTATACATGGGGGCGTCTTATAGATGGAAAAATACGGTACACTGTCTTCATTAAAAAAAGAATACATTGAATGATGCAGTAATGAGTAAAAATCTGCCTTTTGTATCTGCCTGCCAGATATGACGTCTATCTGTCAATATATGTACATCACTGTGCTGCAGTTCAGGTGATATGGTGGACATTTCTACAGACAATGCTGCTGATGTGATGCGATTGGGGGTCTTGCCCCCCCCACTATTCCAACTTCACAAATACACGCATTTCCATTCACTGTCAAATTACTGCTAAATAGCTAAAATCCCACTTAATTCCCGTGCAACGCTGAATCTTAATGGCTCGCCAGTGCCAAGTATCAGCGAAGGCTTTTATTTGTCATTATAAAAAGCAGTGAAACTGTGTTGTCTCCGGGTTCATCCGATTCCTTCCATCTCCAGGAGTGCATTCAACTACCTGCTATGACCTTAGGATTCTCCGGCAACAATAAGAGTACAAATGCAAGCCTGGTCAATAATGTAAAAGATGGCGGATAAGTATACTCTGAGTGCACTTATCCCTCTCTGGGTCTCCTCAGATTCTTGGAGTAGAACATTTTTACCGCCAGTTTTCACCATGCGGTCAGCCAAACATTGCACAACTCTTCAGATTCTTCTCAATATTTCACGTTCACCCGTCACATATGTGGCCCAAACGCTGCTACATATTGATGGGGTCACTAGGGCTGCAACCAACTGTCAACTAGGGCCATCAACTATTCTCATTATCGATTAGTTGGTTGGATCCCCTAGGTCTCTCCTCCTTGCTGGGAGGAGTGCACAGCAAGCAGTGGGCAGGTGCAAAAGCCAGCCTGCTATTGCAATTTGAAATGGCCAATAGCAGGCTTGCTATTGCCCCAGTCCACTACCTGCTGTATTTACATTCAGCTGCAGTCTGCGGAATCTTGCCACTGGCAGCCGTCATTCCCTGGCTAAAGCTATTCAAACACCATGTGCTTACACTACAATTATAAAAAAAAAAACATTTATAAAAGGTGGGAAAAAAGTCAATTTTGGTTTCGGCTTGACAAATTCTGCTGCAGGAGGTGGGTTGCAGTGCCATTCATTTCGATGGCACCCCAAATGCGCCTTCCACCCACAGTGTGATTGGCCGCACTGGAACGCACGGTACCGCAATTCTGAGCGTTCCAGTGCAGTGCGATTGCAAAAAATTGTGCGTGCAGTTTTATTCTTTGTAACACTGTATTTGTGTATTTTATTTTAAATGAAGGATGGTATTTATTTAAATGTTTTTTTCTCCGATTAATCGGAAAAAAATCGATGAAAATAATCATCAGTTGCAGCCCTAGAGTTCACTTATGCTTTAAAGCAGAGGCACCATCTGTCATAGAAGTCATAGAAAGGAAAGCCCAAGACGAGACTGGTCCCTTCTCTACTTTGTCTAAATATTTTGACCAAAGTTCCCTTTAAAGACAAATTGCGGACCAGGAGAAATATTCTGCTTTGCTTCTTTTTAGAGAAGACCAATGGCATAAAAAGACAGATGGTCAAGAGCTGAAAATATATGTTTATTTCCTCATGAAACGTAAGCCACTGCATTTTGGAAGAAATTGTTCCCTTTGCCAGGGCTTGAAGGGTTGACAGAGGCAGACTGGTGAAAGGGTTAAAAGGTATTACAAACAAGTACTTCATAAGCTGGGTCTTACTGCAATAACAACCAGCTGCTGAATACTGCTTCCATAACCAGATCCACTGTGATATTCTTCAACATTCTGCCTCATTTTGGGCTTTTATCTAACAGGGTGGTGCTTCCTTTTCTTTTTTCCCCCATGGATCCTAGCTGGGGCAGCCTGTCTCTCGAATTCTGCAGTTGTGCTCCTACATTACTATTATACAGGATTTATATAGCGCCAACAGTTTGCGCAGCGCTTTACAATATAAGGAAGACATTACAATCACAATACAATTCAAGACAAGATGGTAAGGAGGGCCCTGCCCCCGAGGGCTTACAATCTAAAAGGGAGGGGCAAATGATACATGAGAAGGTAGCTGTGTGGGGATGAAGTATTTGAGAATGTGATGGATAATGCATAGTGATTGGCTTGTGCTGTTACCGCCACTCAACTAGACTTTTATAGAGGACCCTATTTGGCATATCGTTTTAAATGTGAAGAAAAAAGAAAACAGCCATCTTATTTGTTTCCTGAACTAGACCAGCTAGACGGTCAACTATGGATCGGTTAGTTTTGTTCCCACCGGATGCGAAACTGTACAAGCATTTCGTATCACTGAGGCAGGCATTGGCTGATGTCCCGACAGATTGCTCTCTATATTACAGTCTAATTCTGCATATATTG